AGGAAGTGACTTTACTATTAGTTAGGAATATAATAACAATAATAAATCAAAATATTTAATCATATATTTAATTATTTTTAAGTTTTATTTTTATTTAACTTTTTATTTTCAGTTCCAATTTCTTTCCCTCCTTCCTGCCTCTCCCCCTCCCATTGAGAGGGGCAAGAAATATGATACTCATTGTACATATGAAGTCATGTAAAACACATTTCTCCATTAGCCATGTTGCAAAAGAAAGAAAGAAAAAGAAAGTAAAAGAAAATAAGCTTCAGTTTGCATTCATTTAGTTCATCAGTTCTCCCTTGGGTGGTAGATAGCATTTTTCAGGGTGATGCTTTTCTAATAGACATTACAAACTGACACAAAGCAAAATACAGTAATAACAGGAGATTTCAACTATTTGATATAAAAATATCATTCTACTTAAAGCAGAATGGTTAATAAGTTCTTGACTTGTGTTTTTGCTAGTTTTATTGCTTAGAAGGTAGAAGAAACAGTGAGAGGAACTGCTAGTTTAGACTTAATTATAACCAACAGGAAAGGTTCGGTTGCTGGTGTGGAAATTATAGGAACCTTGCAAGAAAGTAATTGTATTATCTTAGACTTCATAATAATAAAGCATAATAAAGAGGGGCATAGTCATACATGTGTGTACATTCAACTTTAGGAAACCAGCTTTCTAAATATTCAGAGAAAAACCAGGGCAAATCCCCTAAAAGGGAGAAAGAGACAAATGTGACTGTACAGCTTTGAGGTGAGATTTTAAAAGAATATCTACTAGAAACAAGAAGAATACCTCATCAAGGATAAATACCAAAGAGGAGCATGAATTTATAACAATGATATCAAGAAGGATAAGATGCAGAATGAATGGGGGCTTGCAAAATAGGCAGAAGAGAAAGAAAGGAAACATTTTAGTTGTGTCTGGAGAACAGTGAAAAAGGAGTAGTGTTTCTACTTGGAGGAAGATGGTATGTTCAGAGACGACAGAGAGAAGGTAAATAACTATTCAGGTTCGATTTTGCTTCTATTTTCTCTGTCAAAGAGAGTGATCTTTAGACTACAATCATTAAAACAAATTTGGTTAAAAGGATATTGAAGCTCAAAATAGATGAGGAAGTAGAAAGAGAACATGAAATTGTTTTGAATGGTTTCAGGTCTCTAGAGGAATTATTATTATTATAGGAATTATTATTGTTGTTGTTGTTGTTGTTATCATCATCCCAGAATAATGAAAAGAACTTGCTAATATAATCACGAAACTAAAATTAATCATCTTTGAGAAATCATGGGCAATGAGAGAGAGAGTGCATATAGTATGTCAACCTTAGGGGGGATGACTGTGAGATAAGAACGTTCACATTCAAATGAAAGCAAATAATAAGTGTTCAGATTCTCTGTAAACATAAAAAGGACTTATTATTGAATTATAAAGTGACTCATGAGTCACCACCAATTAGAGATCAATGGTCAATATCAGGGCAGTGTCCCACTAACACCTGGCTTCCTAGTGTCTGCTCCACTCCACAGAATTTTTCCTCCCCTCTTAAGAAGTTGTGAGGAGCCATTCTCCCAAGATTCCCAGACAGTTGCAAGACTGATGGGGACAGCTCTCTGCTGCTGTCATCTAGGGATGGAATCAGGGGAGGAGAGGTGATCCAGACACTCTGACTTGGAAATGAATGCCTCTGCACTGTGGTGCCCCCTTCCCTGACTCTTGTCATTAAAGCAAGGTATAATCACCGATTGTTATTATTACAGCTTGAGGGAATCTGGGAGATGCAGAATGAATAAAAATAAAGTCAGTTATAGGGGGCACACCCTCAGGTTACTTCCTGCATCTCTTCTCTCCCCTGCCCCAATCCATCCACACCACCTGCCTGCATAATCTTACTCATGCATAGAGATTGTCCCGCTGCTGCTGCTCAGAGATGGTCACTGGTTCTCATTGCCTTTGGGATGCCATTCAGACCCTTTTGCCTGGTGTTCACAAGAACGTTCATAGTCTGATGCCTCTCTAATCTTTCCAGGCTGATCTCCTAAACATACTTGATGCCCTGGTAAAGTGGACTGCTATCTGTGCCCTGCCAAACACTCTATGCCTTTCTACCCCAGGCTTTTGCTCTTGTAGTTTCCAATGTTTGAAATGTCTTCCCTCCTTCTTTTCATCTTTTGAATTTCTGCCTGTCCTTAAGAGCTTGACTCAAATGTTGTCTTCCTTGGTCCCCCATCAAAGAAGCTTTTCCCCCTTGGATATCATGTTACATTTTGTTTTGTACCCCTACTAATTAATGTATCATATATTTTAATTATTTTATACGTATACTAGACTGCAAAGCTCTAGGACCATGTCTTATCTAAACTTTCTATCTCCCCCATCCAGGACTAACACACAGTAGGCGTTTTATAGATATTTGCTTAATTATTGTGGTGGAATACCTTGCTAGGATTCCTTTTGGGCCTTCCCCATTTCACCCTTATATCAGTCGGCTCTTCTTGTCACCTGCTCCCTTGAGTCCCTATGCTATCTCATCTTTATTTCCTTCTTCTCAAGTTCCTTCTTAAGATCATGGTAGAGGCCCTTAGGTCTCATCTGCTCCAATGACTTTATTTGATGATTTTTCCCAAGATCACTCAATAAGCTAATGGTGGGGCTGGGCCTTGAATCTAGGCCTTCTGACTCCAAACCCAGTCCTTGTACTCCTGTGTTAAAACAGTCCTTTTCTTAGATCTCATGATTCTAAGGAAGCCCTTCCATAGAATGTAAGCTCCTTGAGGGCAGGGACTCTTTCTTTGCTTGTCTTTGTGCCTCCGATGCTTAGCATAGTACCTGGCATATGAATACTTGATTCCTTCCTTTCTGGCTGGGTAGCAAATGATCCTCCAGTTTCATGGTAAAACTCAGCTGCTTGAGCCCTACTTTGCCAACATTCTTGAACCCTGCCCAATGAATCCCTCAACTGCAGCGTCCTCTTTGTGAACCCACTGCACATGGTTCCCATCAACGTGGTATTTGTGGAAAGAGACCAATTTAGAACAGAAAACCTGATAATTGTAATCCCAGCTCGATGGTTGTGTTGCCTTGGGCCATATACTTATCTTCTCTGAGCTTTAGCTAGGTCCTTAGTTGTAAGATGGAGATAATAATGCTTATGCCACCTACTTGGCAGGATTGTTACGAAAATTAAATAGGTTAATATATGCAAAGCACTTTAAGCACTATATGACACATACATCTCTATGTACAAAATGTAAATGGTTTTAGTTAGAATCATTATCTCTTTCTGACTTCATAAGTACTCTCAAAGCCCCAAACCCTTTCATATTTCTCTCTCTCCAAGTCCCAGCATCACCATTCTAAAGCTTCTGACCTCCTACCCAGAGTAGCCATATTTTCCTCAAGGGAGTTATGTCTTCCAGGCACTTGTGTCTTCTCAGACAAATGTTGGCCTATTTCTCATTTTGTACTTTTCTGACTTTGGCAAAATCCTGGTCAAACTGGATTTATTCCAGTGATTTTGTGAGAGGGAGAGAATTTGGGAAAAGACAGAAATAAGTTAGATATTTTGCCCTACCTTATTAACCAATTGGTGGGGCACTAGGGTTTCTTGTTCAGTAGAAACATCCCGTGAAGCCAGTCTTGAGAGGAATGAGCGTCATAATGACCACACCCTAGAAGCCCAGGTGTAAGGGGGACCATTTCATTTCTCCAAGGATCTCTTTGAAAACTATGACCTCAGGTTTCATTTGTGGATTTCCAAATCAATTTAGATAGTCCACAGTCTATGGAATAGATATGTTAGAAAAAGTTTGCCCATAAGGTAAATTTATGTATAATGACTACTACTTTACCACCCTTGTCGTTATAAAATCAGACACTCCTATAGTAAAAAAAAAAAAAAAAAAAAAAAAGGCT